GAAACTCTCAGACTGAAGAAGTCTCTTGGAGGAGAGACGAAACGTTTCATTAGAGAAGAACCCGTCCAGAAGACCTACACAGTTTTTTTCTTTTTCATATCGTGAAACACATCTGCGATGGCCCGGCCAGTGTACGAACCTCGAAATGGTTTTGTCTGCAGTATGACTCCGTGGAGTAAAACCTTTGTTAGTCCACTGTGCGGTTAAACTAATAAGAGACATTGGGCTAACGCTGCTTGTTCAAATATCAGTTAAGCTAAGGCCCYAAACATCTTGCAGAAGGTTCTAAATGTGTCTCTTCACAAAGTCGTGTAGTTTAGGTAATGTGTCCGTAATGTGGCCAAAGCAAAAATCAACAAGCAGTCAACTTCTTTAAATTTTGGTTTGTATGTTTCAGGATTTTGACCTGGCTGCTGTTTATGTGTCTGATGCCCTGTACAACAGAAACATCTACTTTGACACATCCCCTCAGGCTGTCAGGTGAGACTTTCACTTGTACTTTTACTTATATCTTTCATGTAAAATTTAGCCCAAATCAGTCAGCACTCGTGGAGTGTGTTTTAAAGCTTTTTTATTTACTGCCAAAAAAAAAAAAAAAAGAAAGAAAAGGTATGTCTCTTAAAAAATGTACTTCAGTGCTGAAAATTTTGGTGAACACTTAAAAAAAAAATCAATTTTAAGTGCAACTTTTTAGGATTCTGGTGTGGATTTTGACGTTTTTCCTGGTGGTTTCTCTGTGTTATCTGGGGTTTGGTCATGATTGCAAATCTGAAATGTCTGTAATCTAATAATGATTCTCCAGACGCATTAACACATGCATACTAGGGTTGGGTACTGAAACTCAATTCCAGTATGGCACCAGGGTGAACATCAACAGTAGTACACAGACTGAAACACAACTCTAAAGCCGGGTTCCCACCAAACACATTTGGAGCAGCCAAAATGCTCTTTCCGCATGCGTTTGGCTGCTTGTCAACAGCTGCCGTTCACACCGAACGCATCTAAAGACGCGCAATGGGAGGAGCGTCTTTGTTCTTTTTCTGGTCGGTTGACGTTTGAAGTAAAGATAAAATAAATAAAATAGCTTTGCTTTATTTACTAAAGGGAAAGCGAACATTGCGCACAGAGCAGATAATTAATCCACCAGATATTAGAGGCGCTCTGTCTGACTTTTTTTTTCTTTTTTTCCAGACCGAGACCAGACTAGAGGCTGTAGAGGGAGGAGGGTCTTGGTTTTTTTCCGGTCTGTCTTTAATGATGGGTGAAATAAAGATAAAATAAATGCAATGGCTTTGTTTTATTTACTAAAGTTTTGCCACTCCAGGAACTGCGAGCTGAGGGACTTTTTTTGTCCAGAGCTCAGCGAGCTGCTGCTGTCTCATCACATCGCTGCTGATCTCTCCAGCTAGAACTGCAGACTGTCCATTTCAGCTAAAAAGGCTCCTGTCAGTCTGTGTCGGGTTCATGAAACTGTCACGTGAAAAAAAATGTTCTCTCCTGATTGGTTGCTGCTGCGCGGAGAGCAGCCAAAGTTCAATTTGTTGAACTTTAGCAGCCGCTGCTTTGCAGCTGCCGCATGTGTGGAAAAATGCTCTGCTGCATGTTGCACACTGCTCTCAACTGGCAAAACGCGCCACTATGTGCTGCGCTGCACCTAGGTGCGCGTCCACCATAAACTTTGCATATAAACCGGCTGCTCCAAACGCGTTTGGTGTGTACCCGGCTTAACTTCGGTGCCTCAAAGAAAGCTGTTAAACTGCTCCCTCTGGTGTTCACTGTTAACAGTGACAGCCTCGGCACACAATCTCCACGGATGCTCTTGTACGCAATTCGACTCAGCTCGGTCTCGGCCCAATGCGTTTCTCCAAGTGCGCTCCACAGTGGCTCTGTCTCAGAACCTCCTCTCCGGTGGTTCAGGTAGAAGCAAGCACAGCACACTTAAGATTTTAACGTCAGTAGAATTCTGCCCGTGGATTAACTCTTGGATTGACTGACAGCAAATTTCCTCCTGGAGAGAGCTGTTTCTGTTTAGGAATATGAGCGCGTGGCGAGATACGACGACATGGTGAAATAAAACTGCCTTTTTGGTAAAGGCAGAACTTGTAAACACTTCCTGGAGAGAGGTGAAGGAGACGAAGCTGAGCAGATCACAGGAGGTATAAACAGCACCGTGATAATAAATGAATGAATGAATGAATGAATGAATGAATGAATGAATGAATGAATAAAAAGTGAAGTCTGAACGGTAAGACCACAACTGCTTTTTTAATATTATTTTATTATATTATCATTTAACACAACAGTTGGAAGCTGCTGTGGGCGGTCCGCACATTATCACACCCACAGAGTGAGGGACAAACTGTGTGGAGACACACGGACACAGAGCAGAACCGACCCGACCCAAAGTGAATCGAGAAGAGCCAACTTCATGGAGAGGGGCTAAACTGGTGTCGCTGCAGTGAACAGTTATCGTGTGTGTGTGTGTTTTATGTATTTATTTTTAAAGTACCGATTTAAATACCGTTTAGGAACCGGTACCGTTTTGAAGGTATCGATTTAGCACCCCTATCGAATTAAACCCTTTCAATACCCAACCCTAATGCATACACYTCACAAAGCTTACCCATTTATTCTAGTTTTAAATTTTAGACACCAAACGTCTGCGGTGGGCAGAGGCACAGTCCGGTGAGAGCGGGGTGAAGTTGGTTGGTGGTTCATTATGWATTGGCTTTGGTGTCTCTCCTGGCCTCAGTGAATAGCTGGGTTTCAGTCACGTGGTTTCGAAGGCGGAGCGATCRCCACTGGAGGGCAGGGGGTAAAATGTCTATGGAGGAAACTACTGTAGACTAAACTACTGTAGAGAGTTCATATTGTATGGATTTAGATCCTATTTCAAGATATATAACAACAATTTGTTCAGAAGTATGTCAGTCATGACTCGTATGATGAAGATGAATGAGTTTTTGAGAGAATCTAAAGAGTTGCTGAGGCTATCGGTACCACACACGTCTTAAATCACCAGGTGGTGCCAAAATAATAATCATCAAAAGGTTTTCTGACGAATAATTCTGCACGATTCTGCCCAACCTTGTGAAGCACTGAAGATGAAAAATGTAGGAAGCTCACAGAATGGCAACGTGAAAAGTGGGTTTTAAACTGTCTGCGGTACTGTCAGGAGGAGCAGGTCTGCAGTGATCACTTCGTTCAGAGGTATGTTAGCTGCRAACATGTTTTAGAGGTTATGTTTACAATTAGTAAGTATTAAGTTACTGTTAGTTTAATGTGGACGCCATCTGGACTTTTTAGCTTTCTGTGTAGTTAGGTGCTGGATGTTTGTTGATGTTAGCCGCTACTGCTAGCATCATCTTGGAGCTGTTTGGTACGGAGGTTGTGGATCGACCCGCTGAATAAAAAGTTCTACARCTCCAGTTGTTTACGGGCTTTCATCAGGTGTTCGGTGTAGTTAGCGCCGAGTTAGCGCCGTCATCATCTGCCCCTGCAGACTGGAAACGGGACCGATTTCCCCGGTAGTCCGCTCCGTGCTCGATCTTCTTCTCTTCTCTCTTATAATCGAAATAGTGAATCACCTACTTCCTCATCAGAGTCCTCYCTCTGTCTCCGACTGTTTTTCCTCCATCTCTGCCTTTGAGCTCCTCTCCTCTCTGCAGAGGTTCTAACTGCAGCTCGGTCCATCTGTCCGCAGCTGGAGCTCCACGTTCATCGCCTTTTTTTTGCATCAAAGACACTAAAAATAACTAACTATTCACCCTAACTATGAAATATAGTTGTACAAAAATAATAAATGTAATAAATTTCACATATCTCATTGCTGACTTCCGATCTCCTGTCTCTCTATCGCTGCCGAACTTTATTCAACTCCTGCCTCTTTTTATTTTTATCCTCCTGTAGATTTTTTGCTGCTTGTCTAGTATTTTCAGGCTTCAGTCAGAAAGGAGTTTGGGGGGTTTAGGTTTGTTCGGCATGGTGGGGGTGACACCAGAGGGTGGAATGAGGTGTTTCCCCCCCATGAATCAGCCCTCTTTTGCATCCTCCTGCTGCAACGTACTTTAAATATGACGAACATTAATAAGAAGTGCCATAATATTTTTTGATTTTTTTTTTTTATAGTTTCAGTAAAATGGTGTATAATTATTTTTTATTAATTCAGTCAGAATGATTGGAGCACTCGTAAACTACAAAAGATATGGGCATTTTTTCAGATAGCAGATCCTCCACTGTTTCACTTCCTGCCTCCAGCCGAACTTCACGCTCTCACGGCACTGCATCYTGACGTCACGTGAAACCCTCCTATTGGTAATTTGTGAAATTGCGTAATGTCTGTTACTTATGACCTTCATAGGGTTTTGGCTAATGCCAGGGGAAGTGCTGCAGAAAGTGTGGGCATGTCAAAGAGATATTATTATAAATTCAACACTACCAATGCAGTCACACTTTTTTTTATATTGTTTGCTATCCTGACTCTCCTGTATAACTTTCAACTCCCTTWTGTTTTCTGTCTGTTTACCTAAGTAAACAATGTTTTTTAATGCTTTAGAAATTAACACTGGCAATTGAAAATAGAAAATATTCTTGTACTAAATTAGGATTTTTTAAAATGGC